AATTAATCTAAGCCGTTGGATCATAAACAGGTTACAGACAAGAACACGTGATAAGCACGAGCAGCTAGTAAACCTAAGTAAAACAGATTAAAGAAGATCTATGCAGAAGACATGCTGCAGAACCTCTGTGAGACACGACAGAGGTTCTGTCGTCTTTGACTTGTAGCAACGTCTATGCAGAGGACCTGTTGACAGAACCTCTGTGTGAAACGACAGAGGTTCTGTCACTTGAGACTTGAACGCTTGAGCATCTTCTGCTGTTGGTCCTCTGTGGTCTTCAGTGACAGATCATCTTCTGTCAAAACTCGCAGTTTACTTTTTCTATACTTTTACATTTAAGGAAATGAGAGCTAACATCCACTATTACCCAAATCGTGTCATGACCTTTAGCAGTTCTAGGCAGTTTGGTGATAAAGTCCATGGAGATTTGTTCCCATTTCCATTGTGAAATCTCGGGTTGTTGTAACAATCCGGATGGCTTCTGATATTCTGCCTTGACCCTTGAGCAGGTCAAACATTTCCCAACGTACAAAGCTATATCCTTTTTGATTCCTGGCCACCAATAGTACTCTCTCAGATCCTTATACATCTTATCTGCCCCTGGGTGAATCGAATACCTAGATCTATGGGCTTCCTCCAAAACTAACCCTCGTAGATTTTTAATCTTCGGAATCCAAACTTTATCATTGAAGTAACGCACTCCATCTGACTTAATCCTTAATTTATGCTCTAGATTATGCAGGGTCTCGCTCTTCAAATTTTCTGCCTTCAGCCCTTCATTTTGAGCTTCAAGAATTCGAGTCTTCAAACTCGTCTGGACAAGCATTCCCAAAGCTCGTACTCGAGAGGGTTTTGTCCTTTCCTTCCGGCTTAGAGCATCTGCCACTACGTTGGCCTTACTTGTGTGGTATCGGATTTCACAATCATAATCACTGAGCAACTCCACCTATCTTCTCTATCTCATATTGAGCATCTTCTGATCAAGGATATGCTGGAGACTTTTGTGATCGCTAAAAACAGTACACTTAGTGCCGTACAAATAATTCCTCCATATTTTGAGAGCGAAAACCACAGCTCCTAGCTCCAGGTCATGAGTGGTATAGTTCTTCCCATGGGTTTGAGTTGCCTCCAAGCGTATGCTATAACCTTGTCCTTCTGCATCAATACGCAACCCAAACCTTGGTGGGATGCGTCACAATATACTACGAAGTTCTCGGTTCCTTCTGGCAAGGCCAGGATTGGCGCGTTGCGTAGCTTATGCTTTAGCAGTTGGAATGCGTCCTCTTGGGGTTTTCCCCAAACAAATTTCTTACCTTTATGGATCAATGTTGTTAATGGTTGGGCAATCTTTGAGAAGCTCTCTATAAATCGTCGATAATAACCCGCCAAACCCAGAAATTGACGAATTTCTGTCGGGGTCTTTGGTGCTTCCCACTTCTTTATGGCCACAACCTTAGCCGGATCCACATGAATTCCTTTTTCGCTAATCACATGACCGAGAAATTATACCTCCCGAATCCAGAATTCACATTTTGAAAATTTAGCATACAATTCTTGCTCCTTAAGCAATTCTAGTATCATTTTCAGATGGTGCTTGTGATCTACCCTACTTCGTGAATAAATCAGGATATCATCAATGAATACGATCATAAACTTGTCTATGTACGGTCTACAGATCCTATTCATTAAATCCATAAATACCGTCGGCGCGTTGGTCAGACCAAAGGGCATAACTAGAAACTCGTAGTGCCCATATCGAGTCCTAAAGGCTGTCTTAGGGACGTCCTCCTCATGAACTCTTAACTGATGATACCCTGACCGAAGATCAACCTTAGAGAAATAACATGCGCCTTGCAACTGATCGAACAGATCATCAATTCGGGGGAGAGGATATCGGTTCTTGATCGTCAACTTGTTTAACTCCCTATAATCTATGCACATTCGAAACAACCCATATTTCTTTTTAACGAACAGGACTGGAGCTCCCCAAGGTGAAGAGCATGGCCGGATGAATCCTTTGTCCAGAAGTTCCTGAAGTTGCCCTGATAGCTCTTGCATCTTGGCCGGAGCTAAGCGATATGGAGCTTTAGCAACGGGCGCCGCTCCGGGAACTAGATCAATTCGGAATTCGACCTGTCTAGATGGAGGAAGTCCTGACAAATCATCCGGAAATACTTCTAGATAATTTCTTACCACAGGAATATCCTGAATATGCTTTACCTCTGATTTCCTTTCTAATACATGAGCCAAGAATGCAATGCATTTTTTTCTCATACACTTGCAAATCTTCACACATGATACCATCTTTAAACTCCATCCAGGTTTTTCCCCTTGTATAGATAGGGTTTCTATGTCTTGGTAAGGTATTCGCACAATCCTCTCAAAGCAACAAATCTCCGCTCGATTCTTAGACAACCAGTCCATTCCTACCACTACATCGAAACTTCCCAATTTAATTGGGATAAGATCAATGCTAAATAACTTATCAGCTAAATTTAAAGTACAACCCAAGATTATGTCCCCAACCTTTATTTCTTGGCCATTGGCAAATTCGATAGTGTAAGCATCTTTTAACTTCCTCGATTTCAGATTTATCAACGGCCTAAAGTATAGGGAAACAAAACTTATATCTGCTCCAGAATCAAATATTACTAAGGCATATAGGTTGTTTAAAAGAAACATACCTGTCACAACATTAGGGTCTTGACGTGCCTCTTCGGCTCCCATTGCAAAAGCCCTTCCCTGAGCCTGGCTTTCTCGATCTCCCTGACTGGTTTGCCTTTCCTGGTTTCCGACATTGTTGATGCTCGATCTTCTAATTATCCTTGGGCACTTATTCCTGAAGTGATTTGGGCTTCCGCACTCATGGCATGATTGATTCTCTCTGATATTGCAATCTTTAGCGAGATGACCTCCTTTATTGCATTTGAAACAAATAATGCATCTCCCACTACGGTGATAATTGCACTTGCCACATTTAGGGTAAGTCCCCTTGCCTTTTTCTCCTGTTTGAGACTGAGCCCCAAGGTTTCTTATCACTTTTTGGTTTTTGCCTAAATCGTTGTTGGTCCTTTTCCACGATTGGCCCTCTAGTTTCCTCTTTCCACCAAATTTGTCTTGCTTTAAAATCCCTGATCTAACTGTATCATTTGTCAGACGATTTGCCAACACCACCGCGTTTTGTATAGTGGTTGGGTTTGCCGAAGTGACCATCCCTCGGATTTCAGTTGCCAATCCCCAGATGTACCGATCAATTCGTTTCTCCTCTGGAGTGACCATATGAGGTACTAACTTGGCAAGCTCATGAAAACGAGCTGTGTATTTGTCTACTTCAATTCCAATCATGGTGTGATTCCAGAATTCGACTTCCAATTTCTGAATTTTTCTCTTAGAACAATACTCTTCGATGAGTAACTTTTTGAGTTCTTCCCATGATAAATCATAAGCAGCTTGGCGACCACGGGTTTGAACTTGAATGTTCCACCAAGTTAGGGCTCTTCCTTGGAGTTGGCATGTTGCATACTCCACTTTACAGTCCTCAGAACACTTGCTAATGTGGAGTACCGACTCCATGCTCTCAATCCATGATAGTAATCCAATTGCACCTTCTTTACCATGAAACTCCTTGGGCTTGCAGGACATGAATGTCTTGTAGCTGCATCCTCTATCATTGGTGTTACGGTTCTCCTCCCTGACGGGATTCTCGATGTTAGGGCTTCCCTCACTCCTTTGACTTGCATTAATGCCCGCTGTAACTTGAGCAACAATAGTTGGTACCGCCTCCCGAATTTGCTGAGCTATTAACCGTGCTATATCGGGTGTTTGGCTTTCAGGATTTTCTCTCGTGCTGCGAGTACCCCTTATTGGAGGCATATTTCTAATGCACAAATTTTTAAGTCGAAGTTCAGTTACTGTCATTATTTACCACTGTGTTGCACGACATGTTACAATCATCTAATCATGTAACCAAGGTAATAATATAATAACTTATAATTGTAAAGGCATTAAATCGATAATCAATAAAACTTAACCATTCATAGACAAAATCTCATAAGATCCATAAATAAAATAAAGATGTGCAATATAAAAGAAAAAAATTGTTCACAAACCACGGCTACAAGCCTCAAAAGGAAGTCTTAAATTTCCACCATCAACAACTTAATAAAATCCTCTAACGCATAAGACTCCAAATAAGCAACCCTATCACTATCATYAGAATTCCTGCTAACACCGCCAGATAAGTGTGCAACCTCCTAATCGCTCTCCTAGCGATGAAAATCAACTCTAATGAACGTTCCATGATATTATCTTGAGTGCCTAGGGCTGTAATCACTCCATCGGCGAAGTGTCGATAATGCTCCAGCCTAAGTTGACACATCTCAAGAACTTGAGGCATGCCCAGAACCCATAAATTCTCCAGGGTAGTCATACCCGGAGAGCGCTCCGATGTGGTCCTGGTAGTGGGTGGGGGTGTTACACTACGAGTACGTGACCATGATGGCTCCCTCACGGCTCCGGATGGGGCGGAGAAAGACACCCTCACAGGTGGAGGAATGCACTTTCAGGCGGTGGCCCGAACATTAACTTTGTGTGGCACTATAGGACGCGCGGGTACAGAGCGAGGCAGCTGTGGGGTGGGTGATCGCGCCGAAGATTCAGTGACATCGTTGCCACTATCGTAACCGTGCTCTGAGGGATCGTAGTCTCCAGAGTTCGAATATTCGTTTTCTGACGACATAATGCTGCGATATTTAATAAAATTTTATATTATTAAACGAATCATAATAAATGACAAAAAGATGCAAAAATTTATGCAAGCTCACATATGTGAACCTTTCTTATTGAGTATGAAGTCCTTAACATTTAGACAAACACCTAACATAACTGATCCGCGTCTCTCCTTATACATGCTTAATTAGACACAAGTGATCAGGCTCTGTCTAATTAGAGTATGCTAAGAAGTCACTCGTTCTAGTTATATTAGTAGTATGTCCGTTTTGAATTTTTTAGACTCTTTTTAAGAAAATTATTTCGTAAAATTTCGGGTTATAGTGTATGGTTTTCTTAGAAAAACGGTGTTCTCTATAACCTACAGCTCTGATACCAAATCTGTCACACCCTGCTAAAGCGGAAACGCGAGGTATGGCAGGTAGAGTCTCATACCGATAGAGTATAAGTAACACAACCATACATTTTAAAATTTAAATACATCATAACCAAAGTTTACAATCCCAAAGACAAGTTTATAATTTAAACACAAATTTTTTTTTTAAGGTGATGATTGTGACACGGCTTCTTTTAAGAGTCACCATGATCCTTTCTTACCCTTAAAAAATGCACGTCAAAACAAGTGTCAACTACAAGAGTTGGTGAGTTCACAGGTTTTCATTTCACAACAAATCTTTAAGCAATAAATAAGTCGAGTAAATCTTTTACTTACTCGCAACATTTTCATGCGAGGCACAATGTACTCCAAGAAATTTGTAAGTGTTGGGCCACTACTAAACCTGACACCTACGCCCTTTTATACCAAACTACCTCAGCGGTGGGACTAAACCACACATGTGTAGAACCCTTGTTTTAGTTATATGCATCTCTACTCACCAGCAGAAGGTGGGATTGTCAGTCCAAATAGCGCTATCCACTTAAACTATCGGCTCAATGAGTTAATAGTAGTGTCACACCGGGACTTTTGAAATAACCCAAACACAACTATTACTTGAGCACAAGGTGTTAGAGCTCGCATTCACAATTTCAGTTCAAAATATAATTCATAAGAATCAATTTGAATCCACTGTTTAATCGCAATGAATATTGCATGCAAAACATCACTATATTTATACATGCTTTTTCCCCCAAAAACGCGAAAATAGTAAAAAGGGGCCGTGAATACTCACTCTTTTGCAATGCTCCGCAAAATAGAGATACGATCCGATCACCACACTAGTTCAACGATTCCCTATCAAAGAAGAATATACAAACCATCACTTATGATTTTAACACTACTTATGGGGTTTAATAAGTCCTAAGTCCTTAATTGTCTACTTATGTCCCATATGATTATCCATAGTCCAAAATGTCCATATGCTCGTTAATGTGTTAATTTATACCGAAAACAATGCTATAGTCCAATAAAAAGATCAAAATTTTACAAAATCAACTATTCCCAAAATCTCGTTTTTGGGCAGAAACTAATGACACCTAAAAATGATCAAATTAAAGAGACTTCTAAAATGAGATAATTTCCTATCTTTTTACATGGGCTATACCACTGAGTTATAGTCATCGTGACCAAATTTCATGTATTTCARACATGCAATAATGATTCAAATAATTTATGCAAAACGACTTATCACGACTGATATGGCAGATTACACCATGTTAGTAAAACACTCATTAAAAGAGTTCTACTAAGTGTTCTGCAGAAATTCAAGTTGGATTACAGACTTAACACTTATATGAAACATTCAAACTAAAAATCACTCATTTCGGATGAGTTAAGAGGAAGATATGGTACCATAAAGTTACATGCACACATCTGTCATTAGTTGACAGATTGCACACTTAACTTTAATAAATTGGTTAATGCCTCAAAACTTCATATTTTTGAGTAAAACTGGATTCATATGTACCATAACTCATAAAAGAACATTTTAGATGAAGAATCATACACTAAGAACAAATAAGTAGAGAGATATTAGCATACAAAGTAGGAGTTACCTACTGGTGGTTTCACAATTTGCACACCTATAGTGTTTTTAGGTGTTTGGATATCAAAACTCCATAATTTCATGTGATTCCACTTGTATGAAAGAGATAACCCATATAGTTAACTCTCAAAAGAAGAATCATCCTTTTTCATCGAGTTTTGAAAAATATATGGTCATTGGAACATACATATACAAATCTGTCAGACTGGGACAGATTGCATGTTCACTTTGTTTTGAGTAGTTAAAACCTCAAATCACCACAATATTGAATGAAATTGGCGGCATTTGAAAGGTAACTCATTGAACTAACATCCAGAAGAAAAATCAACAATTTTGAATGATTATCTAGAGAGTTATGGCTGTTTAAAGTAGGGTTTACCAACTGAAAAAGTCTCAGATGCACATATATAATATTTTGAGTATTTGGGGAGTCAAAAATCAATGTTTTTGAGTGAGACCAATTGGATTACAACCCTAACTCAATAAATAAACTTTTAGAAGAAATCTCATAACATTTGAACAT